TCCATCTTAGATTGGTAAATCAAGGTATTGATCAGAAAGTACTTCACAGACTAGCTCTAGAAAATAACTCTTATACTAATTATTCTAAGAATACCATTCTCATAGCAATCAATCTAAGAATGGGCCTCATATAGTAGATGTACAACCTCTTGTATTAGAAAGGTACTTAGAGACTAATTCATATCAGATTAGGCCATCTCAGAGTAGTAGAATCCACTCTAGAAGTACCCTTCTCAGACGAACTTGTGTTCAGGCCAAAAACCCATGTACTGCAGAACAATTTGTCTATAAATAGAGGCTCTTCTGGTCCATGTTTTCCTTTCCCCTCCTCATGCTAGCTACAGAATAGTAATCAGAGATATTACTCAGCTTTCATCACCCTTTGATTAAGATATCCAGAGATTATTAGAGCCCTTGAACTCCCCTTACCTCAATTTTGGCCATAGAAAATTAATTCAGAAATATTGCTTAGCCATTCTCACCTCTTTGAAAGAAATTAGAAAAATAAGTGTACCTTTTATCAGAGCCCAGAGAAACCAGAGAGTCTTATTAGAACAGAGAACCAGAGAGAATTTACAACAGATTTAACAGAGAAACCCTTCAGAAACCCTTGTTACTCAGAAAGCCCCACAACCTCCTTACCTCCTCAACAGGTATTCTTAAGCAACAATAACAGTAGTATCAACACTAAGATAAATTTAGAAATAAGCCACACTCTTATTTTTCTTAGTGTAACTTTCCCGCAAGCTAGACAGGAGGGCAGTCTCACCCACACATCAATACTAATTCTACTATTCCATAGTCTTATTAGCTATTTTATCCCCTCCAAGCTCTTTACTCACTTGCTGAGCAGTTCCACACCGGCTGGAAGGAAATCCTTCCAGCCGGCTGCCTTGCCGCCAACGTGGATACCCGCTCAGATACCCGCTGCGGCCGATGGATACCCGCCAGCGGGTGCGAATGTGGGTGCAGATGGCAATTTGCCTGGAAAAAGCAGCCAGATATCCGGATGTGCTAGGACCATCTCTATTTTAAATAGAAGTGCCTGATTTAATTTGATTGTAATTCAATTCTGAGTCAGTCATTCTAGAAAAAAACTGCTGATGCCATTCAAATTATCATATATTCTGGTGTTTCTCACAGTTTCATCAGCAAACAAACGGGGGAAAACCATGTGTCAAGATCAGGGAAAGTTGGAGGAAATTGAAAATCTTTCTTTGGAAATTGAAAATCTTTCTTTGGAAATTGAAAATAAGTTCAGTGCAACACCCAGTGAATTTAAAATGAAATTTATAATTATTTCATGGTACTTCTGGTGATTTCAATTTCTTTTTCTCAATATTTTGAGGTGACTGAGTTGAGACTTAAAGTCACTGGCTTGCCAGTGCCTTGGAATTTCCCCTGGTGTAAATTACATCTTTTCTTGTTTCTCATTCTCTTTGTTCTTTTGTTCTATTTCTGACCTTCTCTTGTTCTCTGGTCTGGTTTAGTTTTTAGCAATAAAACTCTCAAGTTTTCTCGTTTGACATGTGAATATTTTTAAGATCCATGTTTGATCTTAGCTAGATCTCTCTGTTTGTCAGGAAACAAGGGAAGCCTTAGAGAGGGCATTTTAGAAACAATCTATGTATGAATTTCAAGCTAGCTCATTAAAAAATTAGAATTGAGTCAAGTCCAGGGTTTCTCAAAAAGTTGTGTTAGAAGGTATAATGAACAATGATAGATGAAAAGAATGTGTGAAAGATAAAATAGAAATGAAATAAAGTAGAAGAAATAGTAGAAGAGTACTTATTGAGCTCAGCAGAATGGAAGTCAGCATGGGTTCTCTGCTCTAGGAGAGAGAGGAGGAATGGGGAATTAAGTAGTGGTTGAGTTAATTCTGTAAGCTTGAGTTCCAATCCTTGTGAGACCTGGGTAGGGTGAGGTTGTGAGATTCAAGGACCAGATTAGCAGCGGTGGGCCGCTACGCTACGCTTTTGGCCCAAAAAGCGTAGCGTAGCGGTGCTTTTTTTCATACAAAAACCGTAGTGTTAGCGGTTTTTTGCTACGCTACGCTGCGCTACAGTGCTTTTAGTGGAAAAAGCGGCCAAAAACTGCTAAAAAGCGCTGTAGCGCAGCGTAGTGGGCCCTTTTTTGCAGCCCACACGCGTAGCGTTAGCGGTGTTGTGGCGGAATCCCGCTACGCTACGCTTAGCGCTAACAGCAATTCCGCTGTGTTACGCTACACTAACAGCTACGGTTAGTGTAGCGGCCCACCGTTGGGATTAGCCTGTAACATCAGG